ATTTCCTCTTGGAGAGGAAAAAGACAATAATATTATTAACATTATGGTGACCGCCCCTAGGTCAAGGCTACACAGGCAGAAAATTCAAATTTACCCAAGATCAGCACAAACCCAAATCTGTGTGTTCAAAGGGGAAACAGAACTGACTCTGAATTCAAGTTTTGTTTCGTACACAAGAATCTTGCAACATGTTTTTCCCACATAAACATCAACATTAAACAGCTTTTAAAAAGCTGTGTAGACGAGTTGATTTTAACTTGGTCATACAAACCTATCAAAAAGCCTTTAAATAGCTGTTGTTATTGCAACTTTTACCTTACTTAAATAACTTTGCTTTAATACATGCTTTACACCTTTATCCAAAAATGGGCATATGATAATTATATGCCCAAAATAAAAACATTAAAAGACAGTCATGTCTCAAAATAATTGACACCATTTCTTTGTTCCCATTAATAACAAAGTTCACTGAAGTTGCAGTTGTATAATAATTGCAAATATTTTTTTAGACTTTCTCAAAGCCCCTTTCCAGTTTCTGCTGGTTAGGTGGTCAATTGGGAAACAGACCTTGCAATTTCCGTTTGCTCACATTCGCTCGCTTTGTGAGTGTCCCATGCACCTTCGGCACTCACATCGTCCACTTTTGGCAAGTCTAATTTTTTTTTTTACTTAAGGCTTCAATCAAGGTTATGAAATAATAATATAAAAACATGAAGTGGGAAAACATTTACTATGGACCATACTCTGCAATGCCTTGTCCTTTTTTTGTATTTATCAACCTTGCATGCATAATTTATTTTTCCATGCAAGATCCAGTTTTCTATGATTTGACAACACAGGGTGAATGTGACCTCACTTATACATAAACAGAGGAGACACCATTAAGGGGATAGCCTTCGTCCAGGACATTTGAGTGTTGCAAAAGTAGGTGTGCCTAAATAGACATTACTAATACCAACATTATGTGAGCCATATTGGCGCACAACATTTGTGTCCCTTGAATGGCGGCATCCCAAGAGAAAGGTTTCACTACATTATTACTTTTTTTCCAAAAGGCTACGACTTTAGAACATTATTTTACCTTAAATAAATATCTCATTTTTTTCTAATATTAAAAATAAATCTTTACACCCACAAGCATTTTAAAGATTGTAAGGGGAAATCATGTTTAGTTTACTGTAACCTCTGCCTTGCATGCAAGTCGTATACTTGACTCCTGCAAAACATATATTAGTGTTTATTAGTATACAATGCAAGACCTTTAAATTACCATTTATGGTAAAAACTGTATCAAGCAGACACTAATGGGATCCTCACAGTTGTCTTCTAAAACACATGTTTGTTTGAAAAGTTTAAAGCTAAAGGCTGTTCGTGTCTGCTTTAGCACAGGGTATCAGCTTCCAACTTTTCAGTAAAACTGAATTTCAAACCTTTAGCATTTAAGGTGTTTGATCTAGAGGCATCACTTACCCAAGCATCCAACACGGAAGTAACCGAGTACATTTCAGGCATGCGCTGAAGTCGTGAAGAGAGCTGCCTCTGAACTTTCTGAAGAAATGGATTGGCATCTAGAAAGAGAAGCATGATTAAAGATCAGTAATATTTCTATTATTTTTAGGCAGTTTCATGTCAAGAGTATTGTAAGGCACTGGCCAAAACTGCAGTGTTCATCATGTCACCAAAATGAGGCAAATGTATAGGGAATGTTCCTTGCTGTGCAAACTAGTATAATTGGGGGATTAAGATCCAATAATAAACATACTATAATTAGAAGTCTTGCACTCTGGACTGGAATATGGGTAGTTGGATGGAACACTGATTTCTATCGGTGGAACTGCTGGCAAATTCAGATCATCTGCAAAATAAGTAACAATAAATTTAAAATAGAGTTGCAAACACAAATGTCAGCCAACAGGTAAATCAGTCTACTATGTGCAGAACGTTGATTGAAACCACTTTGAATTCTGCATCACAACAAAATTTCTACCTTCACTATCAGACCACATAAACTTGATAGTTTGGCTATGAAGCAGACATTAAGGCATGTGGTGAATAAAATACAATGGAGCCTCCATGTCCAATCACCTCTCCCAAGCAACAACCTCCCACCCATAAGTGGCTACCTATCCAACACACCAAAATTGTCCAAGGCAGGGGTTTGACTCTGAAGATGAATACCGCACAGGTTGTCGAAACATCAGTCACTGTCAACAACAACAGTCCTATTCAGGACTATGTTCACCCCGACGATCAAACTCAACCTACTTTTGGAAGGGCTTATAGTTGGAACATCTTGTAAATGACCACCTCTTGTAAGCGACTGCGACCACAACCAATTTTAAGGAGGACAGTTTTAAAATTTTTCATTGTCTTTAACCTCCTCTACGCAACCACCTGATACAATGGTCTGATCTTTGTTTTCAGTGTATGTACTACACTACTCAGAGTATACGAGAAGCATTTTTAGAAACAATGTGGATTTACATTACTGTATATGGTAACATAAAAATTGCATGCAATACATTCTCTCCAAAAATTAAATGTGTTGGGACTTCTGCTAATGAAAGACCTCCAGCAGTTTAACTCTTGCAAGCGACCACCTTCCATAAGCTACCACTAACTCTTTGCATTTTGGGTGGTCGCTTATGGAGAGTCTCTAGACAAAGTACCAAAGTCTTGCGACACTCAAATGAAATTTAATAATGAAACTGAGTTCTACGGTAACTTGTGAGTTTGTGGATCTTGAGCTTCACTAAGTGCTCGCAAACTCATTAACTGTCTTAAAGACGGGTCTGTAAGACCACTGTATAGCTTACTTATTGAGCACTGAAGCAACGTGTTGCTTTGTACAACTCCTGTGTTAATACCAGGCTTCACTTGAAATCGGCTGCACAGTCGAGCCAGCTCGCCTTGCAGTACATGTACCGCACTCTTGGTTAATAAGTGGTATATAAATTTTAGCTAAGACACTTTCAATGTACCAAGATTCAGTCTGGAGAATATTGGGGCTTTAAGGGTAAATGGCACCCAAAATAAAACATGCAAGGAAAACTAGAATACTGACTGGGTAACAACCTGTACATTGTAAATCTGTGTTGTATTACAGACATGTTAGTCATAATGTCTAGCATTATTTCTTTGCATTCACAGTACAAGAAGTAATAGCAAGCAAACCCCAACAAGTTGATGGAACCAGTGTAAATAAAAGCCAAGGGGCTTGAAAGCATGAACAAAAGCATGAGGAGCAAGTTTCAGAATCCTGAATTTAAACTTAACTTTTAGAAACAAAATATTGAAATAAGCCTTAAAGAAACTGTTGATGTCAACCGAAGGGTTTTCATCAGTGTGAGAACTTGACTTGTTAAAAATTATTGCTGTCTCGCATTTTAGTGTTATATAACATAACTATGTATTGTAGTTGCTAAACTTATATCACTTAACCCTTTAAGTCCCAATAGTGACCAACAGCAATTTTCTCCCAACGACATCCATACATTGTCATTAGATGAGGTTATGAGAATTAATCAAATGATCATGTAAGAGAAAATACTTTGATCTTTTATCAAATTCTCTCAATTCATTCTTTAAGTAAATGTATAGAGATCAGTTTGGAGAATTTGTATGTGGATATTGGGGCTTAAAGGGTTAAAGTATAGCAGGTTCTCACACAGATAAGCCCAACCACAGGTGTATGGTAGTATGTCTGCAGTCTTTTTGACATTTACAGAATAAAAAGTCCTCAAGTAAAATGAAGTGGTCAAAGAAAGCTTGTACATCATATTTGGTGAAGCCATAATTAGCCTGTTCCAGGCCTTACATAATATAATTTAAAATAACTGCGAGACATATAATTAGCAATATTAGTAGGAAGATAAATGTTGGCCTGTGAATCCATGCAGACCTATTTAACTGTGACTTTTTCCATAAATACATTTGCATTTACTGGCTAGGTATATTTGATGACTGTTGTTTACATTAGGTAGGTAGATGTGTACATTACCTGATTAAATTTTATTCTCGAGCAGTTAGAAAAATTTTAAGTTATTTTATTTTCTAACTGACAATTAAATTACTGTTTACATAGAAATAATAAATTATTATTGCTAAGTATTATCTTTTATTAACAAATCAAATCAAACAAATTTATTAACAAATCAAACCTGTATAAAAATCAATATTATTTTGGGTGAGATCAGTTACCTTTCATTTCTAAGACCCAACAACAAAGTCAACAAATTTCAACTAAATTAAACTGTGTTTCAAAGAGAATTCCTCATGGGCCACACACATTTTTACTCAATAAGGGAGATTTCTGTAAAGTACATGTATTAGAATACACCTAACACAGGTTTTTATAATAACATGAGTTTCAGTGATAATAATAATTATTCATTATTTTTTTGGTATATGAATTTTTTTTGAGAGGGGGGGTGGGGGGACGGGGTATTATTAGTTATAACAGAACCATTACCATACCCCATTTTTCCTATTAAAAGTCCAACACCTAAGTAAAGGTACCTCTCTATTTCCTCTTGGAGAGGAAAAAGACAATAATATTATTAACATTATGGTGACCGCCCCTGGGTCAAGGCTACAAAGGCAGAAAATTCAAATTTACCCAAGATCAGCACAAACCCAAATCTGTGTGTTCAAAGGGGAAACAGAACTGACTCTGAATTCAAATTTTGTTTCGTACACAAGAATCTTGTACATGTTTTTCCCACATAAACATCAACATTACAGTCAAACCAGGTCAAGCGTACCCCCCAAGAACCCATTAATGAATTTATTATTCAAAAGGTGAATCTGTTGCTAGTTGTAGATTTCAGATTGATCTCTGCATTCTTGTATGTGTAATGAGCCGTGAATTCACACGAGAGGCAGTTATGAAATTTCTACCAGCTCCATTTTCCTGAAATTGATGTAAATGTCTTCTAAGAAGCTTAATCCATTCAAAGATTTCCAATCTGACCAAATACAGAGAAGTTCTCGTAAAATAT